TTGCAATCCTGGAGTTGAGGCTATATGTTTCTTTCGTTTAATAACGTAGATTTGATAGCGCTGGCGTGACAAAATTCAACATGCAGGATTCTTACATGGCATCGTTGAATCTTTCAAAATCAGTAAAAATATAAAGTTGCACTGGCTGATCTTCACAACACAAATTGTACCCTTGTCTTAACCAGGTACCGGAACCTGCGGCGTACCTCTTGAAGCAACTTCTATCGGCAAGACATTTACCTCCCCTGGATACCCAAACTCCTACATCCCGTGAGTAACTTAATTACTATATCGGCTACAAACGCACTTAGGTTTCTTATATTGGTTGCCCAGTGTTTTAATTGTGCATAAATCAAGTGTGTGTATAGGTGAGCGTGTTTGATTGATTATTGAACGTTCAACAATATTATTCTTCATACTTAGTCATGCATACACATCTGTACTCAGTAATGCGTTTGTATGTGTGAATCTTTCGAACCATTCTGGAACCTTATTTCGATTATTTGTATAGCACTCAAAAACAAACGCGTCTGTTTGCAGGAGTCAGAATTGTACCTGGACTATTACAACAGAACATCAAAACCAAACCATTCAATTGTACACCATGGACTCGGTACTTCAGAACATCTCCTCTCAAGGAACTTGCGACTGGGATTATGTCACTGTATACAACGGTCAATACGGCAAGTAGAAACGTGTACATGCTTGTTTATTGGGGCTGTGCATTGCAGCATTTTCTGTATTGCGATATTTTGCGATACACTGATATGTATTTTGATAAGTATTGTGATATATTGCCGAGGAAAATTAAGTTGATATTTGATAAAAATGACTCATGTTTCAATTTTCAAGTCAGTATCATGAATAAACAATTTATTGTAATTCAAGGTGATGAATAGATTTGAACATAATAAATATCCCAAAAGTGTCAACACAACAGTTAATTAAAAATGTTTTCATTGACTTGGTCCCAAGCAGTCCACCATGTCATAATATGTCAAATATTACATAAATAAATGAAATTCAAAACACAAAAACCACGATGAACAAATGAGTATTGACCAGTGACTTAGTAACAAAATACAGTTCAACTTGATCTGTAGATAACTGATTTTCACATTTGGCACCTTTTTGTTTCAGTTTAACTTTATAAGTGTTCTCCGTAAAAAGAAACATATCCACATTGTTTGGCTTTCAGAGAGGCTCTCTGGTGTGTGACAATGTCTCCTGCTGTTGAGAATGCACGCTCGTAGGAGACACTAGTTGCAGGAATGCAGAGTTGTTTCTTGGCCAACTTTGATAGATTAGATGCAACTGTTCTTCATTTTTCTTCCACCACTCAAGACAGCTTTCTTGTAGTGCAATGCCAGGGTGATTGATGTATTTATCTATCTCAAGTTTGGACAAGTCAAAGGGAGATTTAGCTGGCTCAGTCTTCAAGATGAAAACATCGCCAAGGGTTCCTTCATGAGCTTCAGATCAGTTGAAATAATTGAAATAGTGATAACACTGACAGTGAATGAGGTTGTCCATGTTGACAGATAATTCATTCATTTTAAAACCAGAGCGGAAATTGACATGGAATCACAGACATGCATAGACTAATTGAAAGAAAATATATTATTCTGTACCATAGGCAAGATGGGGTTTTTTCACTTCTGTTAACATCATGGTACATGTTTGGAAGTATCCTCTCTGAAAATGTTGTTCTCGGTGGACACTTATACCGACTGTCCATGCATTTCATCAAATCCCTAAATTCAGGCGTGTCAACAACACTGATAGGTCGAACGAAGTCCCTTGATGGTAAATCTCGCTACTTTGTCATTGATCTGTTGCGCGAGGACTGGTGTTTGTTTAAAATATGTTTTTGATTTTTCAAAATTGAACAAGGAGTTTATTGTCACTTCAGATGAATGTGCTGACGATTCTTTTTATCAGTGGAGTCACTAGAGACACTGTAGTGCACTCGCCCTTCCTCACACGTGTAGCTGTATCTATCACCGGGTGATGTTTTTGCACGTGTACAGTAAGATTACTTGTTCCCCCAGCGTATTTCACACTAACATTGCACGACAAACAGCGACATTTGCTTCAATGTTTACCCCCCCTTTTCCGAAATACTTCCAAATATCTGATTTTGCCCTCTTGTTTCCCACTATTTCGAAATCGCTACTTTAACCAGTCGCCATTTTGTTGCTATGGGAACGTGGGTCAAGTTAGATAACTCTTGCCAGTTCATTCTAGTATTGAAGTCTGTACCACACGTGCGACTGGGTAGTTGTTTTTGACGAATATTTACATTTGTTTTGATTGATTTTTAAGAGCCAAACTATCAGTTAAAATTGTCCAAGATATACTGGTTCAAAGCAGGCGTATTGCGAGGCGTAATTAGTTACTTTTTTTCTCGCGGTGAACTGGAATACCGTGTTTGTCTGTGTTTGTACAACGACATTCTACGTAGTCATTCAAGCGGATATTTAGTTCTGCAAAGTTGTCCGTTCAATAATTGTATACTCAAAGGCAACAGGTGTTTTGACACACAGACAACAAACGGAATCAGTCTTCAACCTTCGGCTACCGCGAGAGATAAATGTTTCAAGCTATGGTAACGATCAACAGTCCATAAGAATTTGGTATGTGGAAATGAGCCCCAACACAAGATCGAATCACATGGTTAATACCCAGTGTGTCCACATTGTGCATTAATGCTGTCCTGGCACTTTCATTTAACTGAGGCCATAATACGTGAGTTATATACAATTATTGACTTCTATCGGCCTTGGACATATGATAATATCACATGTCCAAGGTCGATAAATCATTGGATCAACCGAACTGAAGTTAATAAATGTTTTATTATATGACAAAAGTACTGAATACCTGTTCTTCTGTCACATAGACGATTTATTTCCTCTTCTTAGACAGTCATGAATATTCGTGGTTTCTGCCATTTTGATACAGATGTGAGTAACTCTAAACCAACAGTCACAGGGACGCTTCCTTATCTAGGGTGAGGCACGCAGTCCGGAGTTCACAGCTGGAATATCCCAAATCTATTTTACGCCACGGGAGGTGCTTGGATTTTGACAGCTTTGACGCTAAGCGATGTCAACCTCGCCACGTCGCGAGAGGTTGACATCGCTTAGCGTCAAAGCTGTCATGTGGCCAATCAGAAGGGCGGAAAGCTACACGTCATATAATAACAGGGAATATGATCTCATCTCAGAGGAGGAATCTGGCGGGGTTTATGCAGCGCTGTTGGGGGATTCGTAAACGTACCTCTATTTCATCCCTGACGTGTTCAGTGGGTGACACATAAGGGGATCTTGCGGGCCAGGGTAACACATAAAGATTGTTCTGACTAAGAAATTGCCGTACGGCTCCAGAAACGCATGATCTGTCGTTATCGTGTTGAAACACCACACCAGGTCTGTTCTGCTGTAAAAACGTTAACGAGGTCATTTACAAAATCTCGTTTCGGTACCATAACGTCCCCACCTCCAAATGATTCCTTTCTAGAACACACGGCTTAATATAACCCTACGGGTCTTGTCGTAATCTCGGTGAAGAAGTAAATATGACTCATCGGTGTACAGAACCTTCCTACACTCACTCCCCACCCCAAGTGTTGTCTTCTCCAACTTAGACGTCGATGATGATATTCTGGCGTCAGCATGCGCGGATGCCGTAGACGCTAATACACACCTGTCGCATGGTATGGTACGGGATGTAAGGGTTGCTGGCTTGAGCCTGTGTCGGAGTTGCGTTGTTCCAAAACCTCTCCATCTGTCATTTTCCCTCGAGGTTCGAATTCGTTCCAGAACGATGAATGGAGATGCTGTTTTCTGCACTTTTAATGACTGCAGCGAGTGGAAATTATTCATGTCTGGTTGTCTAGCCTTTATCCGTTTAAAAGGCATGCTGGTAATTTTTCTCTTCTTTATCATGCGTCTTGCAAATTTAATGGAATTCGAGCAACAACAGGTACTCTCAGTTCCTTCTACCATATTTACACACTCGTACTCTGATCAAAATCAGTCACAAGATTACCAATGAAAACATTTCATGTCACAATTTCTCTTGCCTCCGATTGTATTTGAATTGTCGAATGGAAGCCTCAATATGAAACTCTTTCTTGTCAAGTGTGCCGAATGCATGGTTGTTGGTTTTCGTACGTTTTGAATGGTGGTATTCAAAGTTAGGAGAATCAACATTTCTGACATTGGTGATAATATAATGTTCTATTATAGGTTCTTCCTGGCTCGGCACTTTCTGTGGCAGCGAAAGACCTGTTTTTAACAGCGGTGGGAACGCCTTGAAAGTTCGTCTACGAACTGACCCCTCACGAAACTACAAGGGATTCAAGATGTTATACACAGCTGTATCGGGTTTGTATGCATTAAGCAATTACATATAGCCTAAAACTACAGCTTTCCGGAAAGACTATTAGTGTTAATCTGCTTGTGAAATATATGTATGATGCCCATTGATTTAATTTACTTAGTTTATATTTACCTCACTTACGCACATGTCAATATGATAATCAGTAAACAGAACCACGCCAATTTGTAATACTGTGGACGAGATTAGTTAAGTTTAATGATTATGAAGTTTCAGTAACAGTGTGGACAACATGGTAAAGTGCGATCAATTGTCTCTAGAATATGCCTTTAATTCAAAAAACGTAACGGGGGATGTTGCATGGTAGACTATACTAATAAGATATTTGCCCAACTTTCGTTGTTTTAAGTATTTATCAGACACCCTCCTGGTGAGTTTTAAGACGTGAGCCTATTGTCAGAAATGTCTGGGTCCTTACCAAGCACACTACCACTACCACCGAACACCACCCCATCCATCCTTGACACACAAAACAACACACGCACGCGCGAACGCACGGTCACACACAAAAAAACAAGCAAATAAACGTCATATTCTTGGTAAAACAGGAAAAAAAATTGTAAAATATTTAACTGGTACTCTTCTCCGTTATCAGCAACAACTTGCAACGTCACGCTTCCCGCAGTTAACAGCCCGATGGTGATTGTCTCCCCTGGCTATCCAAGCAACTACGTAAAGTAAGTAAAAACTTACAATCATATGATGAAATGTATGCATAATTCAAGGCCAATTCACATTGATGCAGTTCGCCAGTTCAAGAGATGCATACACATGTTGAAAGATACTCTTCGCCTTAAGAATGCCACCAAATTTTAATGTGCTTTTTTATCCCGTTTAACCATAATGGATGGATGAGGCAAGTGTTTCTGTTTCGGAAAATATTTCCTCTTTCTTGCAGTGGATTGGACTGTCAGTGGACTATAAATGCACCGATAGGAACAAACATCACGGCGAAAGTTCTGTTTCTCGATTTGGAAAAGGGGACATCGTGCGTGGATGATTATCTACTGTTTAAAGATGGTAGGTAACACAAGGATGCATGTTGTGCTCCTCTTGGCATTGAGTAAAACAGTTGTAGCTAATGTTCTTTGATATGAGAAAGCCACGTGGTTAAAAGGAAAACAAGAGTGCCATATTAATATAAACACATAGATAATAATGATAAATTCATAGATACTAATGATATATAAAATTTCAAATATGTTTTTCAAAGTTAGTGTTTGATTGTCATAATTTCGCCATTGTAATGCTGTGTACATGGAATGAATGCACACTCATCTTCGAAAACATTAATGCATGTTTACGTTCGAAAGTGTCAGTGAGTGAGTGAGTTTAGTCTTACGCCGCACTCAGTGATATTCCAGCTTTATGTCGGTGGTCTGTTAATAATCGAGTCTGGACCAGACAATCCAGTGATCAACAGCATGAACATCGATCTGCGCAATTGGGAACCGGTGACATGTGTCAACCAAGTCAGCAAGCCTGACCACCCGATCCCGTTAGTCGCCTCGTACGACAAGCATAGTCGCCTTTTGTGACAAGCATGGGTTGCTGAAGACCTGTTCTACCCCTTATCTTCACGGGTCTCAAAAGTGTCAACTTGCTTGAAAATGTCATGCCGTATTGTCACAGCCCCACCTTATTTCCCAGGCATGTGATCTGCTCTCAGAAACATCAGTTGTACCGAAATTCTCAGCAGAAATTCCCACGAACATTTGATATAAACAAACGATATGGAAATATAACTGAATCAAATTTTGATGTTTCAAACATACGGCTGCCTTGAAGAACAATACTGCTGCTTGCGTATATCGTCAGTATTTATTTACCGTTACTGTTGTATCGAACCTTGGTAACAAATACTTTACTTAGGTATTTTCATATTAAAGAAATTGTTTGTTTATTGCATACTGAAGACACCGAAAAAAATGTACAAATAAAACTATATTCATTAATTAATTAAAGGTGCACAATTAATACATTTACGTTTAAGGTACGACGAACGATGCTCACCAACTGGCAAAGATTTGTGAACGTAGGTCTACTCCCATCGTCAGCTGCAGTAACCATATGACCATCATATTCCACTCAGACAGTACTGTCACAGGAGGAGGCTTTCGTTTGCAGTACTATTCTGGTAATAGTCCAAGCAACTGTTTTTTAACTTTTAGGAAAGTCTGGTTCTTGTCTTCATTGGGAAAACCACACATTCCTGATGACCAGAAAGATATAACGTCCAGGAAAATATACATCCCTGATGATCAGTATAACATAATTTCCGTACGACCAGAGACCCATTGTGCGAGAAACGATTGTCTTTTTTTCCCCTGGATAGGATCTTTTAACTTAAAGATTTTGAATCATTAGGGTTAAGCATTCACGCGAAAAACGCATCTGTCTTCACCTGAATATGCTCCATTGACCAAGTGTGATGATACTCAACCCATTCAGTCTCTCTTAGTTATCAGAAATGGAAAATTTACCATTTATATTTACTGTCAATTATTTTTTTATTGTTTATTATTCCACTCGGCTGGCTTTATGCTGTTACAGCTTCCGTCTGTGGATTGTCAGATATTTCCGCATCTTCCGTCACTTGGAAGTATTTGACCTCTCCTGGCTATCCTTCGAGCTATGACAAGTAGGTGCCTGTTTTCTTGACAAGTGAATAACGGTTAATATCAGTAAACAGGTGACAAAAACACGTGGCACATAGCACTGCACACGTGACCGGTACGCAGCACTCCCTACGTGTCAACGATTTAGCACCCGAAAGGTGAATTTGATGCTTATACTAAATACGACACAAGTGTCACTACGCACGTGACTTGTAACTTATCACACGTGTGGTAGAAGGATATCTTCTGATGAAAGTATTTTGATGGGTTTTTTCCTAGATAAACACTACCATTGCGAGTCTCCTATGACTACGGTAGAATGTTCATTACACCGAAAAGCCGTTGAGTACCCAAAGGTCTTATGTAACTAAACAAAAGAGTTTTGACTGCACAAATACCGGGACAGCTATATATTTAAGAATTATACACTTGAACAAATTACTTGTATATATTGTATAATACCAATGTATCTTTACAAGGAAACACGTTATCCGTGATGTCTTCAAATGATCCAGACTTTGAAACACTTTGAGGACCTTCTTGCTTGAAGACATCACGATGGGTATAGCCTTATGCTCGAGAATGGATGCTATTATCACCTTCCCTGGCGAGGAACATTAAAAGGCTTTATGTCTTAAGTCGTGTGATATTCATTGTTTCAGGTCGCTGGGTTCATAGATAGTTATTCAGGAAGAACACGCCTAATGTTGATTAAGAGTTGTGTGGCTCTTGGAACTGCTGAAACTTGTGTTGATGTAGCACGATTTTGCGTGTTATTCTGTGAGCTAATTGACATGCCGGCCCTCATACAGTGTTATATTTCATCTAATCTGTTCATCTCTTTCCTAATAGCAATATGTACTGCAAGTGGACGATCTCTGCACCTGTTGGATTTAAAGTAAAAGTTGAAGTTCATTCAATTTCTATGCAATACGACGCATTCTGTTCTAAAGACTACGTGCTCTTCAGCGATGGTAAGTAAATCTTCCTTTAAACAAAAGTTCTTAAAGATACTCTTAGCCTTCTATGTCAATCGTTATCCTACATCCAGCATGTGTGCATTATTTATATTTGCATTATGTTGTATTATGGGCCAATGGCCTACGTTACTGAAATAGGATATCTATCTGTCTATCTATATATCTATTAAGTCATATTTTTCTTCAAATAGAATTGGTTTAAATTTGCAATTATCACTGGTCTATAATTAATATTTATAGCCTCAAGTTGCCTTTGGTGTTTCTACCATGCATATCTCTTTTAACCCCAAACATAATGATTCTTTCTACTTTTCAAGGTTCCAGTCGGTTGGGTAAATACTGTAGTGACGTCACCGAATACATCGTCAGCTCTAGCAACGCCATGACCATCACTTTCCGCACTGACAGTTCTGTCACAGACAAAGGAATTTCTTTGAAATACATTGCGCGGACGAAAGGTGCTTACTTACTTATCAATGTGCATGCGTTTCCTCTTTCATCAAATAACGTATTTAAACACATTTTTTCCCAGCATTGTTTTCAATTCAGTCCACGAATATTCTCCAGTCAACGAATATATTGATTTGAGAACAATATTTGGGTAAACTCGCTTAAACATTATCTGGTTTGGGCTCGGGTTAGAATGAACCTTCAGTAACCCGTGCTTGTCGTAAGAGGCGACTAACGGGATCGGGTGGTCAGGCTCGCTGGCTTGGTTGACACATTTCATCGGTTCCCAATTGCGCAGATCGATGCTCATGCTGTTGATCCCTGGTTTGTCTGGTCCAGACATTACTTACAGACCGCCGCCATATAACTGGAATATTGATGAGTGCGGCGTAAGACTAAACTCACTCACTCACTTATTTGGTTCTTGTTTATGCTGATGCTGGACATGATGTGTTCCCTTTCGTAAATGTCTGGCCCGCCGCGGCATAGATGGAATATATTTAGTGCGGGACTAAACAATAAACAAACAAACCCTTATTTCAATATGTGAAAAACATAAATATGTGTGAGAAAGGAAACTGATTGCGCCCCTCAGAGAAAAAAGTATATCCTGAGGTAATCTGTGTCTGATAAAAAAAACCTTCATGTTTCTTCGGTTATTTTTACACTTTCTTACATTCTCCTGAAAAGAAATCAGCAAGGGGGTATGCCAACTCCACTTGGGCAGAATAACTCCGTGCACTTATCATGAGTTGCTTTATACATGGCAACCAACAGTAATATTCTCAAGAGCCATCAATGTATAAACATATCTGAACAAAAGTGAAGAGAAGATTATTATGTGCAAAAAGAACTCAGTTGATCATTATATTCTTTCATCTAAAAGATGGAGAACAATAGTTACATTTATACATCCTCTGTTATGTTATTTGTGTGGCACTAATGTGTTTACTACTCTTTTGTATATGCAGTATAGTACGTGTACTCTGGCCACGTTTAAAAGGAACCGACGGATCAAACCAACTACGTTTTACTTGTTCCGGCCACTTGCTGAATATATTAATCAAAATGCGTATAAAATACTACGGTTATAACGAACTAAAATTAGTGGTCCATTTGAGTTCCTTGTGACCAAAGTATACTACATAGGAAATGATTTTACATATTTATAATTGTTGTAAGATAAACACTGAAAAGGCGCAATCGTTTATATATATATATACGTACAAACGTCACTTGTCTCCCATATCATTCTCACCATCACAGAGGGGCGCTGGGGTAGTCCTGTGGTTAAAGCATTCGCCTGTCTCGCCAAAGGTCCGGGTTGGATTCCCCACATGAGTACAATGAGTGAAGCCCGTGTCTCCTGTCATGATATTGCTAAAAGCAGCGTAATTATACAAAAAAAATACGTGCTCACTCGCTCATCAGTACCACAGTTGCCACACACACACACACACACACACACACACACCCCACACACACACACACCACCCCACACCACCCAAAAATAAATGAAAATAATAATAATAAATAGTAATAATGATAAAAATAAATTAAATAAATAAATAAATAAAAAATAGATAGATAGATAGTTAAGTTAAAAAAAAAAAAGCAGGTGAACCCAGTGTTGCAGAGTGAGTGAGTGAGTGATTGAGTTAAAAGTTTAAGTCACATCGGCATTATTTCAGCCATATTGTGACTCTATCAAGTTACAATATATATTTATAATACAGTGTTGCAGAACTGTTTCAAATTTACAGAGATACTTCTTTGTTTCAGGGTGTTTCGAAGATGATACGATAAGCTATGAGACGAAATATGTTGAATCACCGAATTATCCTCTGTCCTATCCCGAGTAAGTATACATCACATGTTTTAGGATGAACACAGCAAAACAAAAGTAAATTCCGTGGGGATAACACCACAACGAGTTTTGCCTAAGCATCATGCTTATTATTTGCTATCACAATACATGCTCTCCAAAAAAGAAACGCATACTGATCTATGAAATTTTAATATTTGTTTTCAAATTCGTGTTTGATTGTTATAATTTCGCCATTATAATGCTAGTTTGTGTACTTGGAATGCACAGTGCCAAAACTCCGAACAGCGCGGAAACCTTAATGCAAGTTTACGTTCAATTTGCATAACAATGTCATTGAGAAAACATGGCTCACAATATTCAGGTTTAGTTCTGAGGAATTGTGAGCAGGAAAATGCCTATATAAGGCCGTTTTGCTTATTGGCATGTTTTAGCTTTTAAGTACGGTTCAGAGACGAAATCCTAAGGATTCGCATGTTTGGGATAATTGGCCGCCAGAGGGAGTTGTTTCAGCAAGATAATGCCAGGCCTCACACAGCACATGCCACTACTCAGTATTTTCAGAATGAGAACGTTAAGTGCGTCCATGACTTTCTAAATCGAACAATCTCAACATCATCGAGCATTTGTGGAATGACATGAACGTCAACCGGCCCCCCAAACGTTTGATCAAATTCGAAATAAAAGACTTAATCAGCCCATGCCGACACTGTGCAGTTTTGTGTCCCATGGTGGCCACAGGAGATATTTAAGACAACGCCCAACTAGGAACGGACGCCTTCACTTATTGAATTATTTGTGAGCTATACACGAGAACAGACATGCGGTCTTTTATACTGTGAAGTTTGGCTGCAACTGATCCAGACTTATATGTGTCACATCACTTCAAAGTTAGCAGATTAAATTCGTGAAAATACATCTTTGCCTTTTAAGGGGGAGAGTATATAAATCAGTACTATCACTAATGGGGGTACGGCCGCAATTCCGCTGAGAGGTTTTGTGTATTGTTAATTCTACCAACCAGTCACGTGCCGAAGGTCACATGAGATGGCAAATGCGCATGCGCTAGTCAGAGCACTCGCGACTCGCGCTATGGACAAATGGATGTAAAAACCTGAGGTGTCTTTATATTTGATTCAAATAATCATGTATTTGAAGCGAACCTTTTTATGACCGGAGGTATCAAAACAAAACTTTAATCTTGGAAGAATCGTGTGTAGATTCAGAGAAAGTATTTCGTTTCAAATCAGATTCATGAACATGGCTGACGCCATGCTCTCGTTCCCACGTGGGAAGAAAAGCGCCAAATCTGACGAGCAATCGAAGAGTAAAGTTGACTCGCAAAAATCAACAAAATCCACGCCTTCAGAGGCGTCTACCTCAAAACAATCTAAAGACGTTCACTCCCTGTGTCACTTAACATGACAATGATGGCCGTGTTGTCGGAAATGAAGAAAACGAACTCTGGTTTGAGCCAGCTCAGCGGTAATATAGAAAATAATTTCACTAAACTGAGTGAGGGACTTTATGACAACAACTGTCGTGACGAATTTCAATATTATGAGGATGATGATGGTTACGGTCTAGATTCAGGATAATTAACTGTCAACTCTTCTATGCAAGACCCTATTGCGGCTTTGCTTGACAAACACAATGACGATGTTGATTCCAACATAATGTGCAGTGAAAATAGTGATACTAATGTCATTGACCAGCTGAAAGAAAGTCTTGGTTCAGCTGCAGAGAAAGGGGGTAATATCCCAGAATACCTTGTTGACATTGTGTCCTCTTTTTTTTATCTGCAACCGAACAAGGAAGTCAAAAATGAATCTACCGTGAATGAGCGAATGAAAACTCACCTGAAGCCGGCAAAGTTCCTGAACTCAATAAACTGATATGGGAGAATGTGTCGGGTCACGCACGTGCGGTTGACACAGAAATGCAGAAATGACAAAATGGTGTTATCAAAAGTTCGACGGCTGCAGTCCGCGCGATGGAATTGCTGTTTACAAACAAATCAGAGCTTCCTAAACCCCACTTCGAGAAGATGCTTTCCTTACTCAGGGACGTGTTGAACATTATGGGATATACCAACTTACTTACAGTTCAGGAACGCAAAGAGTTTTTGCGATTTGGCATTGCGGCGGAATATATAGCGCTTTGCTCACCCGCATCATGCAGCAAACCCGAATTTCTCTTTGGTGACGAAGTTATAAAAAATCTCAAAGATCTCGGTGTCGCACATCGTCTTGGTGCCAGAGCCGGAAGATTTCCGGGAAGACGTTGGAACTGTGGTTTCAATCGCAATCGACCCTATAACTTCGGTTTTCTGGGACGAAGTAGAGGATTTGGACGGCCACAGAGCTATGACAGTTTCCCTCAGGACGCCTCCCAGACAAACTCTTTTTTAGAGAACGGACCGAACCAGTTCAATTCCTCCAGGTTTAAGAAACACTTTAAAAAAAGAGTAGACGACGCCAGCGAGCGGGAGGATAGAGCCACTCAGGTAGGAGAGTGTACCTCTGATATGCCAGATATTGATAAGAATAACACAAATATGGCCGGTAGCTTGACGTCGCCAGTCGCTACAAGGAAGCGGAGCTATTAACGACCAAAGTCAAGTCGCTAAGGCCTCAGAACGTATCTGCAAACGCAGTGGCTTGACTTGGCCGACCGAGTTACAAGTCGATCCCAGAGGCGAGTTCATGGAATCCGTGTCTCAGCTGTTATCGAAGCATAACTTGGACGAGTTTATGGCAGATCCACTCCATAAAGTCGTCGCCGAATATTATGGCTACATTTAAATCCAGTTCAAACCCCGTTTCCTTTCCAAGCTTATGTAAGCCGATTTTAAAATAATTGATTGTGGCTTCTCAAAATTGTTTTAGCAATAGACTGGTTCCCTTGAAACTTTTCACAGTGACCGGTTTTAAAACTGGTTTCAAACATCCTTTTCGCTACAACTAGCCAGCAACCCTAATACGGCTGTGTGCCTTGCTTTGTATTCAATACCCGCGTGACAGGCCACAGCCAGAGAAATAGTTAGTTTGTTTTGTCTCATTTATCCCACATCAATGTTTCCCTGGTTCACTAGATATCCGACATAGTATGGACAACACTCAACTCCCGTTGTTAGCGCTGTTGAGTTTGACTGTTTCTAGGTTGGGTGACCGCTTAGCAATGCTGGGATCGGTCTACTCGCCGTTCCGAAGCTCGGCTGCCATCTTAATTGGCTTAGCAGCACGGGGATCGGTCAACTTGCCGTTGCTAAGCTCGGCAACCATCTTGCTTGGCTTATCAACGCCGTGATCAGTCTTCTCGCCGTTGCTAAGCTCGGCCGCCATCTTTGTTTGGCTTAGCAACGACGGGTAAGGCAGACCCGGCGTTACTAGGCTGGACGGCCATCTTTGTTTAGCTTAGCAAGGACGAGAAGACTGATCCCGTCATTACTAGGCTGGACGACCATCTTGTTTAACTTAGCAAAGACGGTGCTTGTTTCACTTACAAAAGTTTCCGCCGATACCCCGTCTCGAACAACGCTTTAACCATCTCACTGGTGAGCCGGCTGATACTTCAATGCTCAGAATTTTGGGTCTAGGCTGGAGGCACATCGAGGATGCCTCTCGATAGACCATCGCCGTTTTTAAGGGGGCTGGGAGGCTTAATTCCCACAAATAAGCCTCTAAGCTGCATGCGGCAACCCCATGATGACTAGTCATCAGATCATGCTACAATCACTTGCCACTATTATGCCCCATTTCTGTGATATGTACATGCGTAACACATGGCTAATACTAATTTCAATTTCAGCAATGCGGACTGTGAGTGGACATTCATCACATTCATTGTCGGATATGTAATCAATGTTGAAGTGGTCGATTTCAACATTGAGTACTCCAGCAGGTGTTCCTATGATTATGTACAGATCTATGATGGTAATGGTTCTCGATTAACCATGGTTACCCTAGAAATGGATAAAACAGATAAATGCCTAAATAGAATTTAAGCTGTGTCCTTTTCGACTAAGGAGAAAACGTCAGTGACATTTGTGACTTCGGTTTTTTTCCCATTTTAATCTGACACGCTGACATTTAACGGATATGACGTCCACGTTGATGTGGTACAGTAGACACACGTCCTGCTTCAAGCGTCATTTGGATCAATCAAGCATTGTGATTCGTCCGATTATCGAGATTTTACCTATATTTTTTGCGATAATTACAGTTGATGTTATCATAATTGAGCCACACTTGATAGTAAAGTAAAACAGTACTTTGGAGGAATTAAATGTCATCCCCAAATAAGAACAACTGAACGAATTTTTAAAGCAATGTATCTCCTAACAAATGTTTGTAACATTATATAATGTGATCTGATTGATTATCATAATCTTCTCACATGTTATTTTCTGTCAATAGTCACGAATTTGGAACGCTCGATCGGTCGATGGTGTGGAACAGATGGGCCAAATGCCCAGACTTCAGGGCAGACAATGAAGGTTAAATTCCACTCCGATGGTTCGACTTCCCTCACGGGATTTAAGTTGTCCGTTACTGCCGGCGAACCAACCTCTGATTGTACGTGTTTCAGTTTTATTCGTTTATTTCAGAATGCACAGTATCGTTTTAGAGAATAAGACCCATCAATGGTAATACCAGAATTCATTATCATGTGTTTGTGTTTTGCACATGTGTTAATGGACAGTTGTGGAGTATTTGGCACCACTACAAGATACTACTTATTTGTAGGCAGATAAAGAATGTTAAGGTGGGTTGACTAATGAGATGGACATTAAGATGTCCGAACTGACGTATATTCGCCCTGATCATTCTTTTCAGGACCAATGGTTTCTGTGTTACATCAAGCTGACACGCTTTAACATAACTGATGCAGCTACAGAGCAGTGGAGTAGCCCAGAGGTTACCGCGTTCGCTCGTTCACGGTGTAGACTTGGGTTCGATTCCTCACAATGTGTGAAACCCACATCTGGTTTTCCCCACCTTGATATTGCTGGAATATTGATAAAAGTGGCGGGCAAACCGTACTCACTCAAAGCAGTCTCAAAGCAAACAGACACACTGTCCTATCGTACCAGAATGTTATGTCACTGGTTTAGTGGGTAATATTGTTGTTTCATCGTAACTGTCTTTTGACCTATGTTACTTTAGGGTGTTGTTGATCTAATGGCAGTTAATTCCTGTATATCTCGGAGTCATACTGCGATATAAATCCATATATCACCTCTAGTTTAAAACATCATGGCTCCCATTTTGTAAACGAGAAACTCCTCCCTTGATGTTATTAAACATCTACGGAAGCCTCCACAAGGCAATATCAGACAGGTCCGGGTTTGACATCATATTTACATGGTCGGAAATTATGATATTCCTGGACTGTTGTAATAGAACGGAATAGATTTACAACACCACACTAATGTTGCAATAGTATATATGTTCTAAATATTTAAGGATTCCACCTAAAAAATACGACAACAGTTTTTTATTACAGACGGCTTGTAAGATCATTTATCTGCCCATTTTAGGGGATTCAGATACAAAAGAGAATGCAATATTTGAAATAGACCTTGGCTGTGCTGCTTTTGTTGCTTTTTACATTTTGATTTTTTTTTTATATGTTCAGCTGCTGCGACCACGAACATACTAATAGCCGTACTAGGAGGTGTATTTGGCAGTATTACAGTTGTGGGCGTTGTAACCTGTTGCTGCTGCTGTGGACGTTTCAGAAGGAAATCGAGTCCCAGCGACCAACAGCAGAGGAACAGATGATGTGAAGCCACTGTCTCCTTCATCAACGTCCCCAGCAACCCGCAAACTACACCTGTTGCTTCTTTTCCTCTGCCGTTCATGTTTCCACCAGGTACTTCTTACAGTGATGTCTTGAAGGATGATCCCCCCACCGTATCGTCAGGCAGTTCCACTATCTGGCATACAGCCGGTTGTCACGTCATCCCCTAGCGGTGGATCTGAGCATCAAGGGATAGATAACCCAGCAGGCCCCAGTTGAGTTTCACATGACGTGCATGTTAGTATTACTGGAATAAAGACAAAAGGACACATTCGTGTATACTCATACAGTGTCTTCATCCATATACATAGTTTCATTATGACAGGGGGGTAACGTTCCGTATCATGTTTTTTTTAAATCTATTTTTTGATGATCATCTAATATTCAAAATATATAGCACTTCGTTATTAGAGCCAATTGAAAAAAATGTTGATTGACTTGACTTATTAGCATATTAATGTGGTTATACAGTATGTCCCAATATGCCTTCGTAATGTAATGTATGCATCGTTTGAATTTTTAAGTTGTTTTTCTTTAACAATCATGGAAAGTATTTTACCAAATATGTACGATGCTGAACTTTAAATATCCAAGAAACAGATGTCACGTTCTGCAAGTGAAACATCATTCACCGACTGATTGCGTTTCAATAAAGATTGCCCCAAACATGTGATAATTGTGAAATGATGCCACACAGTGGCCCCGAGTAAAAACACACACCTTAGAATATCCCTTTGAAGCTCGTTTGGTATATTTTAATATTTTATTTTATGTTGTTAGTCTAAAAGAATCTGATTGTTCCATGTCCTTTCTGTAATCCACACTGTTATGAATTTGGGAAATCGTTATGACTTCTCTCGATGATCTTCTCAAAGAGTTTCATTAGGGCATGAAGTAGGGTAATGCCCCAATAAGAATCAACTGCATTCTTTCGTTTTCCACCTTTTGTGTGTATTAGTGTTACAAGGCATCTTTTCCGTGAAGAAGGAAGGCTCCCGTTACAAGAATAATGTTAAACAACTGTGCCGATGTCCTCAGGGCTGGTGTATGTTTTCTTACCATCTTTTATAGAGAGTATCTGCTTGGATTTGTTATTCCTATTGATGAGATGCCAAAACATTATCAACATTCTGAAATATTCTCTTTTGAACTTCTCTGCACAGTCTCTCATGTAAACTTGAGCCCAACTCATCCTTAGCACATTTGTACAGACGGAAGGAATTGTGTTCCACGGCTTTGGGTTTTCCATCATTTATCCAGTAACGTCTTGCTGCTAACATCTTAGCATGATAAATGATGATCAAGGACCGTCTATCTTCGCATTGCAGCCACCAAGGAATATCACGGTTCCCCTCTGTCATGAACAGCTGTGCTGAGATCTGGAGATACTACATGAACAGTTCGTCGCTTATGTTTGATGGGGACAGATAAACAGCAAAAAAAAGAAAGCGTGTCCTTGGGATACATATCCAGACCAAGATACACAATCTTTGCCAGTTTCAATGTCCAGTGTGACATGACTGAAATTACTTTTGCTTAATAGCGCGGCTCCGCCACTACACTTGTCAAATGCCTGTCCAGGGTTTATTACAGAGAAGTAGTCTGTATTAAGTGAGTCCAGGAACATTGTATCGTGGGCGTTCAGTTTGTGATCACCCATTGCATAGATGTCGATGTCATTGTTCCACAGACATGATTTCAGGTATTGTACACGGCTACATTGACTCCACAGCAATTCATGCCATTATAGATTAGTCTTGTGCAGATGTGGTCGTATTGCACCAGGTCATCTAGAGGTGATGTCTGCAACACCGTCGGTCATGTTACATCATTTAATTTTTTCAAGATATAGTCTCCGTCTCAACCATGGTTTCACAATGATATCTTCAGGACAAAAGGATGGATTTTCAACAACGTGTTTTCCTTGAAAAAGGAAGTTTTCTGCACTGATGCAAAATGTCTTTCTGGTTCGTAAATAGTTTCATGTGTGTGACTGTCACACCTCCTTCTTGAATATAGTCTTTTATCACACGGTCTGCCGACATAATATCTGCTGGTTTTATGTCGAGGTGGACCTGCACAAAACTGAACCCTCCTATCCCTCGTAGCTGCACATTGGTCAATGGCAATATGTGCTGTAATCTTACTTGAATGTTTTTCAGTAAGCTGTTCATCCTGAACTTCATTTAAGCTGGTGTCCTGTCTTGCCTTGCTTTATACGACGTTTCTGTATTAGGATTTCCTAACGGCGCACGCGGTTGCACTTGATGCATGAGGTTTAAACATCGAGACTGTCTATGTTTGTAGTCGTGAAGACGTACCCTTCGAGACTGTTGTCATGGAGGAGAGATTCTGAGGGGGAATACTTCAGACCCGACTCCAGACCAGACTGGATGGCGTATCTTTTGGGGGAGAAATACTTGTGGGTTCCTCTCTGACCTCGTTATGTTCATGTGTGTTACCTTTGGGCTGCTGTATATCCACATCAGTTTCTTGAAGAGCGGCACATTTCACAGGTCTTAGTTGCTTATTGCGTCAGCATAAGAGTGGATCTTATTTGATTTCTTTACTTCTTTTTCCACTGAAGCTGATGATTAGCTGACTCCAGTTGCGTAATCTTTGATTGGAAGTAGTCACTGCCCAGCGTTGTTTCGCCTTTCAGCGTGGCAAGATCTCTCACTAAACGTCTATTGACTCATGAAATGTACGTGAAAGTTCAACTTCAGGGTAGTGAAAATCACTCACTGAACCTAAGTGAGATTGTCTACGTGTAAATGGGTTGATATGCAAACGTTCGAATAAATATCTGTAGTTTCATAACTTCTGAATATCGCAAAACAGTCTTTAGAAACTTTCACATAAAGTTTATGGCCAGTTTTGATCCTCTCTATTCTCCGTTTTAGAACAAAATCTGAATAGGGGGAGTTTACACAAACCAAGTAAGGCAAGCCTAACATCATCCGGTAGCAATGAGTTATCAACACACTTTTCTGAGATGTGTCTAACAAACACATCCTTGGCACAACAAAATAGCACAGTTTTTATATAGTGGACCATGTTTAATGTTTGAAAGTCTGACTCACAGCTTTGTTCACGAGCGCAGACATCGAACAGGTCTCAATTTCCTGGTCTCTTGTGAGGATATTAATTATGTTGATAAAAGTACAGTGAGAAACGTAAGTATTATACAACGGACAGGTAAAGAAGTAATGAATATTGTCTTCTCTCGGGTGACCACAAGGACAGGCCCGCTTTGAAGAGATGTGTCCATCGAACGTATGGCAATTTTAATCGCTACATCCGAGCCTGAGGCGCGCATGGATTACTTAACATTGCCTATACCAGAATTGATGTCAAAGAAAAACGAGGCGCCTTTACGAGTAGATATTAAACGTGTGAAATCAGCGTGATTATTAACAGAGCTTGCTGATTGTGGCAAAGCGTTCCATTGTCAGATTACGTCTGGTATAGAGAAATTAGCGTAGAGAGTAGATCTGCAATAGATATTGCGAATTTGTCCAGAATTTCTTAGCGAGCAGTTGCCATTTTGTAATTTAGAAGGGATTAAGTTTTGTAAGTAAGTCGCGTTTCATTGTTTACAATTTTGTGCATCTGCTTAAGTTTTTGAATAGATCTTCTTTCGTTTCAAAATATAATTTATCGTGACTGGAGCCGCGTACAGCACCATATATTATGCGTACAGCGTCAAAGTGTAATTTTCCAAGGGAGTTGCTTTGTTCTTTACTACAGTTGTCCAAGTTGTGAGAATAGTAATCAGAGAGAGGAAGAATAAATTGTTTGTAAATAGTGTCTAGGCCCTTACGTGATAATCTATATTTCAGGGATCTAAGGCAGTTGTTCATCAGGGATACCTGCTTGATTATATATATTGTGCTCATGTCAAATACATTTGCTTTGTAATGTTAAAAAACAAAATGTTCATTATGAGATATTACTTTAATGATCATATTATTCATGTGAGGTGAGGTGAAATTGGGTTTAACGTCGTGCTTGAGAATATTTCGCTCATATGACGACGTGCATGCGTGTGTATGTGTATGTGCGGCTGCTTGTACTAGCCCAGACTGAAGCTGGTTTTATAGTGCTAGCCCACTGAGATACCACGCCGCAGCTAAGCATGAATACCCCACTCAGACACATTATACTGACTCTGAGCCGACCAGTCCTTGTTGTACCCATTAATGCCGAGCGCCAGGCAGGTACCAACAAGTACCATATTTTAACGTCTTTTGGTATGACGCGGTCGGGGATCGAACCCGCGACCTTCCGCTCTCCGGGCGGACGCTCTAACCACTACACCACGGAGGCGGCCTATTATTCATGTGAAGATCAGGAAGTCTAGTAGGTGGTTGTTTGAAAACAATATGTTTTCTGTTTTGTTAGGACTGAAAACGACATTCCAATCTCTAGCCCAATTAACAATATTTTCTAAGATGTTATGGAGGTAAGTAGCAGTAACATCACTGTTATCAACAATAATATCAGTGCCATCAGCAAATAAACGGATATTACTATCAATGTTAACAACTAAGTCATCAATGTATATCAGGAATAATAATGGACCCAAAATGGAACCTTGCTATTTTCCGTCTTGCAAATAACTCTTGAAACATTTCAGTAAGGAACCTGACTTGCATCAAATGCTTTACTGATTGAGTGAGTGAGTTAAAATGTAACGTCACATCGGCAATATTTCAGCCATAAAGTGACGAGAACAAAGTTAGTATATATGATAAATATCTGTCACGAAGGACAGTAAAACTTTAGCAATGTATCACAGAATGCAAGTCTAAAAACTAATCATTTCTAATTCTAAAAATGTAACTTTGTACATATATTAACATTAAAACACGGGCTATGGACCACCAACAACCAAAGCTAGGCCACCTTTGTAGGGTTCATGGGGACTTACAGTACTTCTGCTTCCTGCATGAATCTCCAGCAGGATTTAAACCTTCACTTCAGCCACTGGTAGTTGTAAACTATGATAGCCATAAATTAAAACATCATACTATAATACTATTATGCAATCATACGGGGACAATATTTTTACTATACTTCAACCCCATTAAAGAGCAATATAATAAGAGTTTTTGATTACATTAACCCCAATATTAAAACACATCCATTCAAAAACTACTGAACAATCCTATCTCTTTTTCAAACCCTGTAATTAAATGAGAATTGATTGTGTTAAAAAGATCCTTTAAGTGTTAAACTTTGTAATATGTATCCCTAAATGCTTTACTGATGCCAAGGAAAACAGGTTTAACTCCTTTACCAGTGTCACGGGCTTTTGCAATCAAATGGTACAAGTAGGTCAGCTGGTATGAAGTTGAGTCACCTGGAGTAAAGCCTGACTGAAAAGTAGTAATGGTACTGCTAACTCTAAGGTAATTGTAGACATATTTAAAAACACAGCGTTAAAAAACCTTTGCCAGGCAGCTTGTTAGAGCAACTGGTCTATAACTAGAACAATCGTCTTTGTCGCTTTTCTTGATTTGATTTGACTTGATTTAAACATAATATTATTCATTCAAGAGAATGGATTGGGTACAAGTTATTCCAACTTAATGAATCCCTCTCCTATCTACAGTTCTTACATGCAAAAGTGACACAAACTATGTGTACAGGGATAGAAAGATATATACAAAAGAAGAGAAAGACATCTAAAATACATTGAATACATGAATTATTTAGATCATAAACATTATATACAATTATTTAACCTTTTGGAGTTTGATATATATTTTTGAACTTCTTTAAAAATCTGAATATTGTCACTGTGTGGAAGATATGCACTGGCATTTAATAGTACCTGCAGGTTTTGTTGGTGCTCTAAAGCTACACATTCTACTAATATTTTGAAACATTTCCCGTCTGATATTACAATACAAAGAGCATTCCATAAAATAATGATGAAAATTTACAATTACATTTAGTGAGTGAGTGCGTTTAATTTTATGCCGCACTCAGCGATATTCCAGCTATATGGCGGCGGTCTGTAAATAATCGACAATCCAGTGATCAACAGCCTGAGCATCGATCTGCCCAATTGGGAACCGATGACCAAGACAGCGAGTCTGACCACCCCATCCCGTTATTCGCCTCTTACGACAAGCAGACGGCCTCCGTGGTGTAGTAGCTAGAGCGTCCGCCCGGAGAGCGGAAGGTCGTGGGTTCGATCCCCGACCGCGTCATACCAAAAGACTTTAACATACGGTACTTGTTGGTCCCTGCCTGGCGCTCGGCATTAATGGGTACAACAAAACTGGTGGGCTCGGAGTCAGTATACTGTGTCTGTGTGGGGTATTCATGCTTCACTGCGGCATGGTATCTCAGTGGGCTAGCACTATAAAACCAGCTTAAGTCTGGGCTAGTGCAAGCAGCCGCACATACACACGCATGCACGTCGTCATATGAGCGAAATATTCTCAAGCACGACGTTAAACCAAATTTCACCTCACCTCTTACGACAAGCATGGGTTACTGAAGGCTCATTCTAACCCGGACGTTCACGGGTCCTCGTCAAGTGAAGTTTATTAAATGTTCTCAATGAATCATTATAAACATTAAGAAGGTAGCAATTAGTAAGGGCGTTTCAATGCATTTCCAACTAGAATATGCACGCTGCGCAATGAAACAATGTGAGCCGCAAGTTTGTAGAGGAAACATGGTTACAGATTCATCGTCAGCTCTGTCTCGTCCATAGGACGAAACAAGAGTAGTTTATCACAAAACACATCTCATCCGCTCCTCGCTCTCAGTTTTACGATTCTGTGGATGAACATCAGACATTCAAGTGCAGTGTTTTATTGAAAAGACACTCACTGAAATGCACTGTCGCCTCAAAGAAGGGACGCTCCTTTTAATGGAGAAAGAAGGTAAAAATACCTTCTGTGCCAATTATCCTAACCAAACAAAGCAGGTGCATGACAATGTTGAAATTCCTCTACCTACTATCATCAGGATTGTCCATCAGTCTCTCACTTCCTACACCATGCCCAAAATATACGCAAGATGAAACATGTACATCTGTAAATGTATCCAATATTTCAGGAAACACAAAATGTATACGTTAGCTGTAACATATCAATAAATTCTAATAATACGTTTCCCACACAGCTACAATATGTGAAGCCTATTTCCTGAGTTCCCCGTCGTGATATTGTTGATATATTGCTATAACTGAGACTTATTCAAGCACTCGGGTCAATGGCGGGGAGAGTAATGCTCTAAGGGAAGCAACTCCCGCTAACAAATAGGAACATAACAGGACAGACATGTACGATTTCTATCTTATGAACTAGATGCCGATTTGTTGCAAAGGATAATTATAATACATTGTAATCTGAAGGCGTAGTTAAAGTTCCGTAAACTGACATATGCCACAAAACAGTAATTAAATTTGTATTCACTGTGCGTGAACGAATCGCATTATACCAAGCCTTGTCCTGTGAACAATATGTTCAGAAATGAAAGTGATTGTCTACTTGTGGGAAAGACTGGTTTATGAAGACAATATGTACTTAAATTTATCATTCTTTCTAATTTGAAGCTTCCCTCTAATTTCACAAGGCATTTAACATACGCACAATGGAACTACAAACACACTATTACTTGTCTTCCTGTCTCTCCACATAAATTCATTCATTAATTTCATACTATTCAAATAACGCATACACGAAATGTCATAAATATAACATAACATTTTAGCATTAAAATACTGACATAAAAATAGAAAGTTACCTTCAGCGAGTGAGGGAAAATATCAGACTAAAAAAAGCGACAGGTCTGACAAGTGACTGCCCTGTCAGTCATGTACACATTTCCCTTTATAACCCTCTCTCTATACACTAACTCACTGGCTGGCGTATACCCCGTCTATCAGCCCCAACCACAAGTGAGTTGTTGACAATACAGCGTACACAGTTCAACCCAAATCTTAGGTCTACACTCAAACCAACTTGAAAGGCGTCGGAGCGTGATCTCGACGTACATTCCGGATTCTTTACATCTGACAGTGCTCTTTATGCTGTGAATAGTTTTCCTTTCTCCATTCATGCTTCACACCCAACATACAGTATATTTCCTCACAGTCGTCCCAAGTTAGATACATGTTTAAAACAGAATCCGACTGGTGATCAATCCGTTGGTCGGGAATAAAAGAACCTTCATCACAAGAAATATCTGGGGTTTTATAAACATCATATAGTCAAGCTCTATGGCAATGGCTTTGTGACTGACACAAAGAGCATCAATCAATACAGCTGGGTTACGATGACATGCACCAAGCATTCTACCATGCTTTACAATCTTGCAGAGGACAAAAACTGATCTCAACTGGCACCATAATAATAGGTAAAACAGATAATAGCATCCCTCTAAAACCGAACCTTGAGGAAAATTTAATTGCTTGATAACTTTGAGAGAGGCATGCTTCGCCGACCAGAGTGTCTCTGTGGGAAAAAGATGCATGCCGTCACCTCAGGGACCACAATTCCATTTAATGTTTTAGAACAACCATAACCATCAAGCTTGTATTTAGATGCAAATCTTAGGGGCATGCTTTAAACATGTTTGTTTGTTTATTCAAGATGACAAGATGGAATTATGTTTTACTTTACCACTCCTTAATTACAAGGATCCGACAAAAACATACATACGTTTTAAATTGTCAATTTGAGTGCACTGGCGCTGTTATTTGGCATTTGTACGAGATATAATATGGTGTGTTGATCCATTTTAAAAAGGTAGATGTTCAATGTTAAGACTTTTGCATACCTTGACGACAGCGTTATAAATCGACTTTTCCTCTTTTACTGTTGGGTAATATGTCATCACTTATTCTGTTCATCTTGATAAACAGAAACGTTTCTACTCTGTGCTCAGTGAGGCATAACGTCTGTCCCATTTCACCGCCTACTGTGCAGCTTGATGTGTTTCGTGGCTGACCCACCGAACAAGATTATGTCATATGTCAGATAGACTTGCCTGTTTGCTTTGTCCGGATATCGTTTGTGACCACCACCGTGAAGTCGATATTGGTCACATCCGTAATGTGTGTGTTGCAGTCTATTACGTTCTTATCCTTGGAGCATTCCCTGTCTGATAGGATGTACACGAAGGCATCTCTAAAACAGATGTTAGTTACATTGTGAGGTGATCTACTATTGTCAGTCTCGCATGAGAGCTCTCTACCGCGACAGGACGCCATTATGAACATAGCTTGTGTCTTTGGAATATGTGTGTTGTTGTATGGATCGCTGGTCTCAGGTGAGTGTAAAACATATTCATTCTGACATATATTTTATGTATTAACTGACAACATGTCAAAACGTATAAACAGGTGGTACGTGTTACGAGACTAACTCATTTTGTTATTCAGGTCAAACTACAATGCCCTGTCAATTGTATTAGTTTAGGTTCTAAATATAGCATTACAAACTGCGTGTCCCATCAGTACAGGTGACACAAGTTTTAAATGGTAGACCGACAAGGCTTTACTTAAACTTAAATCATCTGTGACCAGTCATGACACAGCAAACATACATTTTACAACAAAATATTTGAATTTCAAATAACAATTACATAATATATTTGTACACTGTATACTGAGCCAGACTGAAGTAAGCGACTCCTGTCGCTACAAAGTCACATGACTGGTCACATGATTACACATCTTTTAAATTGGAGGCTGTCCCGGGATATGTATTGTATGTGGCAATCTCCTTGGTTCAATAGCGCATTTGTAAACTAGAAATTGGAGAAATGGCCTGTTGCTTATCTAAACCAGATGGCGGACAATCAATCAGTCACTCAACTTTCTTACCATAAGTATACAAATACATGCGAAACATTATGGGAGTATTTTTCAGTAATATATCACATTTGAGACTATGGCTTGAAACGAATCCAGCAATTATGTATGGATAAATTAATCATGCCATATTGACAGACATGACGAATAGCAATTTCCATGGATTTTGTAATTGCTTTACATTATGAGTTTCAAATAGGGCTGACATTTTATAATAGTTAGGCTTGTTTCCAAAATAATTATTTAAATCCATATTTCTGGAGGCAGGAAATTTAGTACATTGAAATAAATAATGAAATTCATCTCCGATTTGGGAGGGACGTTATTGACAAACTCGTTATTTGAGGGAATATTTTCCCAGTGACTCATCTCACTAGGTAATTTATGGTTGTTGTTTTAAAATTTGATTAAAATATCACAGTGTTTTGTTCCTAATTTACGTTCCAGTAAAGAAATATTATAGTGAGATTTCATATGTTCATAGACAACTGCTTAGAGCAAGGTGATATGGGTTGTGAAGCAATTGATTTAAACATATTGTATTCATGAAAATATACGTTATAAATGGACTGGCCAACAAACTCCTCGGAGCTTATTTGAAGGGACGCTTCCATATAGCAATACATGTACAAGTAAATACAGAAACATATGACAATAATGATGATACTAATCTTATTTATCAGCAATCAAAACAAGGAAAATGCATGAATATCGATTCGTTTGTTTGTCAGTCAATATTGAAGTATTTATGAAATATGAAATCGATCAGATTTTATTATGTAATCATGAACAGATTTCAATGGTTTATGTAGATCATTGCTAGTTAAGCAATTGAAGCGATTGATCTGAAATTCTATGTTTAACAGAATTGTTTAACCAAGAAAAGGAAGCTATGTCTTAAGCGTGACAAATATTGGACATCAATATTATTTAATATGGTTTTAATGTAGTTGCGTCATTTATAGTTGTGGTGGTATTTCACTGAATATGTCAATGACATTTGATATAATTTTGTGAACGTCGAATTACATTTTCCTGATACTATTCTGGACCAGAAACACAACATACGCAGGTTTGTTGTTTCAACAAGAGGTGATCTTGTAACACGATACAACATATCGTGAGTGAGCGAGTTTAGTTTTACGCCGCACTCAGCAATATTCCAGCTATATAGCGGCGGTCTGTAAATAATCGAGTCTGGACCAGACAATCCAGTGATCAACAGCATGTGCATCGATCTGCGCAATTGCGAACCGATGTCTTGTGTCAACCAAGTCAGTAAGCCTGACCACCCGATCCCGTTAGTCGCCTCTTACGACAAGCATGGGTTACTGAAGGTTCATTCTAACCCGGCCCTTATACCGTCCCATATGTATCCAAGCCAACAGACCTGACCACGAAATATGTAGACAGACAGACAGATATTTTATTTAAGTCTCACCTCATGTAAAAGTACATATATATACACACATATACATAAAATGAGCCACCCTTTAAGGGTTATGAGAGACTATTACATAGAAGTGACATATATGTTAAAAGTAACAATATGAAATTAGCCGTATAAAAGATGTTTTCTTCTTTGAAGAATATAAAAGCAGGTTTTGGCTGTAAAATAAACATGTTCTTTAAATAGTAAAATCATTTTTTTCATTATCACATAAATCTAGGAAGTTGGGATAGCTGAAACACATATGGCCATACAAACTTTCACGTAGATCATCGTACAGCGGACATTCCAACAGTACATGACGATCATCCTCAATCTTATCACTGTATTGAAAACACTCCCTTTCATTTACATTCATATTTGAATATCTGCCTGTTTCCAACTTTAGAGGTGCAGTACCGGATCTAAACTTAGAACAAAGATCGCTAGGAGCGCGGCATTTGCATACTTACATAGCTTTTGCAACCATACACACTTTTAAAAAACATTCTATACGTCCGCAATTTATTGCTACCTTCTTGTTTATACAATGCATCATACCACTCAGACATATACTTTCCCATACAAGTAACCTGTACCCGCTCACATACATTCTTCACACTCACACCCTCTTCCATATTCAGGCCCCATTCTTTAAGTTTGGCCTTCACACGGTAGTTCCAATTTTTTACACGTCCACCCGCGCACTCATCCGACCATATAAAAACATATTTATTTAATCTACATTGCATTTTGTTAAAGCGGCGGTATTGCCTAATAATACATACCCACTGTCTGACAAACGGAGGAACCCAGCCCATGTCTCCATTAACCGCAAATTTGGAGCGGATTTACCCACCCCTAAAAAAAACCTCAAAGCACGATGGTGGACGGCAATTACACATGAAATATCTCGATGACCCCAAATGGAAGCCCCATAACTCAGAACCGACCAGACCATCGTATCGTACAGTTTTGTATACGTAGAATACTGCATACCTCCGACTGCCTTATATTTGCAAATAAGAAGTCCTAATGCTCCACTAGCAGACTTAGCCGCTGCCTTTGCCATAGCGTTATAATCTAAATGTTCAGTGAGCAATAGGCCCAAATAATTATAACAATCCACAACATATAAAAAGGAACTCCCAACATTAAAAGCAGCACACGTTCTGTTGACACTTACTTTCCTAAAATGTACAATTTTAGATTTTTCATTATTTATACAAATGCCATTATCTATACACCAGACATTTAAAGACTCTAATAGACTGTTCAGATCATCTGTAGAATCTGCAAGTAAAACTAAATCATCAGCATACGCTAAAGCTGCAATCACTGTATCCTTGACATGAATACCAATCCCCACTTCTGCAAGTTTATCAAGTAGATCATTGATGAAAAAGTTAAACAGAATTGGAGAAAGTAAACAACTTTGCTTCAGGCCCCGATTTACACCAAACCACGCGGTTAAAATACCATTAATACGAACACTATATTTTACATTCGTATACAAAGATTGAAGAGCTAAAATCATTTTACCATTTACACCAATATTTCTCACTTTGTCCCATAGCACACCTCTATTAATACATCATTTGCATCAGCCCATGACTACAATCGCTTATTTAAAACATTGCAATATAGTTTATACATGGAATTGGTAATAGTTAATCCTCTATATGACATGGGATCCATAGGATCTAGAGTGGAACAATTGGGTATGGGGTTAATAATGCCCGTAGACCATATTGCGGGGATGGTCCGTGTATTAAAACAAACATTGAAAATATAATGCATAGCAATGACAATGCTTTTTGATTTAAGACATTCAACGGGAATGCCATCAACACCCGAATCCTTACCAACGTGGCTTCTATCCAGAGCCGCGGTTATCTCAAAAAGAGTAATGTTAGCGTCAACCAACACATGTACATCACTAGGCATGCTCTCCCCTTCAACACATGTACGTCACCAGGCATGCTCTCCCTTTCAACACATGTACGTCTCTCCCCTTCAACACATGTACGTCACCAGGCATGCTCTCCCCTTCAACACATGTACGTCACCAGGCATGATCTCCCCTTCAACACATGTGCATCCCCAGGCATGCTCTCAACCTTCAACACATGTACATCACCAGGCATGCTCTCCCCTTCAACACATGTACGTCACCAGACATGCTCTGCCCTTCAACACATGTACATCACCAGGCATGCTCTCCCCTTCAACACATGTACGTCACCAGGCATGCTCTCCCCTTCAACACATGTACATCATCAGGCATGCTCTCCCCTTCAGCACATGTACGTCACCAGGCATGCTCTCCCCTTCAACACATGTACATCACCAGGCATGCTCTCCCCTTCAACATATGTACATCACCAGGCATGCTCTCCCCTTTCAACACATGTACGTCACCAGGCATGCTCTCCCCGTCAACACTTGTGCATCACCAGGCATGATCTCCCCTTCAACACCTGTACGTCACCAGGCATGCTCTCCCCTTCAACACATGTACATCACCAGGCATGCTCCCCCTTCAACACATGTACGTCACCAGGCATGCTCTCCCCTTCAGCACATGTACGTCACCATGCATGCTCTCCCCTTCAACACATGGACGTCAACAGGCATGCTCTGCCCTTCAACACATGTGCATTAACAGGCATGCTCTACCCTTCAACACATGTACGTCACCAGGCTTGCTCTCCCCTTCAATAAATGTACGTCACCAGGCATGCTCTCCCCTTCATCACATGTATATCACCAGGCATGCTCTCCCCTTCAACACATGTACGTCACCAGGCATGCTCTCCCCTTCAACACATGTACGTCACCAGGCATGCTCTCCCCTTCAACACATGTACATCATCAGGCATGCTCTCCCCTTCAGCACATGTACGTCACCAGGCATGCTCTGTCCGTCAACACATGTACATCACCAGGCATGCTCTCCCCTTCAACATATGTACATCACCAGGCATGCTCTCCCCTTCAACACATGTACGTCAACAGGCATGCTCT